GCGGGCAGAGCTGCAGGGGCAACCGGCGAGACAGGCCCGGGAGTCGCGACTGCTGGGCCTCTCTCCCCCTTTTCCTGCAGAAAAGCCTCTCGCTCTCCCCCTCTTCCCCAGTAAGAAACATGAACCACCTGGTCGCAGCCCCAGGGTGCATCTCCAGCCCCATTCTCACAGCCTCAAGCGCCAGCAGCACCAACGGCCTGACCTTGGGCAAGCTGCCCTTTCTTCTACACACAGAGGAATCTCCCTCCCTTGCGACAAGGGCTTACAGGTTTTCTGCAAAGCATTCCACGTCTACTGTTATAAACACGGCAGGACGAAGAGAGTAATGCCCCTTCTGCAGTGTTAATTCAGTTTCCTCAAAAGTATGCCTGGCTCCCATGGGGCTTGTCACAGGCTGTCACAACTCCGCAAGGCAGCAGTGTGGAAATGGGGCTGTCTAGACTTTAGCAGCAGCTCAGGCACTGGATTTCCAGTTTTGATCAAGTTACTTTGCTTGTTTACCACAAAAGCACTTTGCAAAGGCTTAGCAGACTCCGCAAGCCAGGAGATCCTTACATGAAGGCTCTCTATAAAAGGCCAAAATATGAAGAACATTTTCCCTCCAGTCTCTCAACCCACTTGGCTTTGTTATAGTTAAAGGAAAAAAAAAAAAAGGGAAAAAAAAAAGTGGAGATAATCTTGTCCCTTCCCAAGCAAGTACATGAAGTGTCATCCACCAAGCTGCTGAGAGAAAGCATGCTGTCAGCACACAGAAGGAGGGAGGACAGCTTCCTTCACAGGAGGCTTTTATTAAAACTGGGTGACGTCTACAAGGATACAGTACAAAAAAAATTTTGGTCCATGGAAAAAAACTGTAATACTCAGTTAAGAAAAGCAGTTATTCTGCAACAGCTATGTTTGCCTACGCAGTACTCGGCATCCTTCACGTGTGAGTACCCTGAGGAGTCAGTGGGCTGCTTCATCAGCACCAAGATCTTCACCCCAGTACCACAGAGGAGCCATTTCATAAGGGGGCAAAGGAGAAGGGAAGTCGAGAGTCTATTCTCACAGACATGTAGTAACACAGACACAAGGAGTAGGGCCACCCAGGCTCCCCAATTCATAGCAACCTTCCCAACCACAGCAAAGCTGGGTGTGGGGATGAGGGGGGTTTGTCAGTAACACAACTTTGCAGCTATTCCAAGAGAGTATGACCGAGTTTCAAGTCCATTTGCGTTACAGTCCCGAGCAGAAATACTGAGGTCTGGGTTAAGAGAAGCCATCCTCTTATCCCTGACCACTAGTTCACTAGTAATTCGTTCCATGAAGAGGCATCTGGGCTGCTACTCCCCACAGTAGAGAAAATCTACTTGTACATTCCTGAACCATGCTGGGCCTTACAGCAGCCCCAGAACCTAAAACTTGACTAAAACCCACAGGAGCTTCAGCACGGAAACACCTGCTAACTCGCATATGCGTGGAGCCACGTCCATTCCCAAGGACTGTCCCGTTACACCCTCAGATCCGCACGAAGGAGCCTCTGGTCCCCACAGCGAGTGACACAGGGTAACCGTCCCAAAGGAATGAGCCTACAACACTGTGTCCCTGCGCAATTCCAGAAGGCAGCTGCTGCATCCCCTCTCCCTGCTGCAGGGGAAAGCAGCCAGACGGCTCGCTGGAACCCCAAGTGCAGAGGTCTCACCGCTGTGACCCCTGCTTCCACATCCCTGCAGTCAGCCAATGCCTCATTTCCCCTGTGAACCCGGCCTAGGACAGTTGTCGAAGAACACGAAAGGAAGAGGGCAGGGAAAAAGGGACGCGGGAAGAAGCAGTTCTCTACATAGTCCAGTAACTTCCTCAAGGAGGAGAGTGACCTGTGAGGCAGCCCAGTGCAGCAGCACCCTCCGAGCGAGGGAGTTCAGGGCAGGGAGGTATGTCAGCTCATAGCATCCTGCCCACTACATCTCCTGGCACCCTGCTATAAAACGAGGTGGGCAGGGACTAGCCACAGAACCCCACCTTTAGAGCAGCTCCAGGCTTCCCAGACCCAGGTCTCATGTGCCACAACTAGATGCTAGTTGGGGAAGAATTGAACTTGAGAAAGGCTCCAAGTCAGCAGTCGCGCTGGCTACTGGGGACACTACGGGCAGTGCGGAGTCAAGGGGAGGCTGTCGGAAGCCTTGGGACTGACAAGGCAACAGTCAGAAAGAAAACCAGGTAGAAATGTGTGCTCGTTGGAGCCTCTCTGCTTGCCACACCCCAGAAGACCCCAGGTGTCCTGGAGTTGCCCCAAAAGGGACAATGCCAGGATGAGTAATGACGCGGGCCTCGCTGCCGGAGTGGGATGATGTGAGCTTTAACAGCGTACTCTGCAGCTCTGTCTCCATAAATAGCCGTGATGCCTTCTGGTTGGGGAGGAGCGGAGCAGCCTATGTGTTACGGATTCCCAGGGCCTGCTCCAATTCCTGCCGTCTTTGCTGCACCTGCAAGAGAAGCCAGAGTTGCACCATTAACGTACTCAGATGGTGCCGCACCACGGCATCCGCGTCACACAGGACCCAGCTGGAAAAGGGTGAACTCAAACTGGGACCAAGATGCATCAGCAGTGTCTACAAGCCAAGCTCAGCACTGCCACTTTCCACGGTCAGCAAGGAGTGACAGGTACGCCGAGCCACTGGGTATGGAGAGGGACCCCTGCTCCGGGACGCTCACCTTGGAGTAGAAGTATCTGCACACGGCTTCCTGAGCCCACGGCTGGAAGTAGAACTCGGCTCTACGCTCCTCTTCAGGATTCCCAACAACATCAGTCATCGTCTGGAGAGCACAAAGGACAAAACAGTTCAGGGAGGGCAAAAGCTCTGGCTGTGCTGAGCAAACCCACCCCCCTCCCCTGTTCCTCAAAGAAATTTCAGTACAGTCAGGTCAGGTTCTTACGCCTGACTCCAATTCTAGTCTTGCTTTCTGAGCAGGAAATTGCCTGCCTCTCTGTGGGAGCTGGTTATAATGAGCAAAGCGTGTGACTGGATCCACCTTCCACAGAAGACAAAGCTTTTACCTTTAAATCCCGGCACTGGGACTGTAGCCAGTCGTTGATGAAGCCCTGAGGATCTCGGGCAAAGCTCAGCATGAACTCACGCTGGGTCTTCAGCTGGTTAATTGTCTCTATTGTTTCATGAATCTGAAGGAGAGAAGCACAGCAACTGAACTGCTGAATAGGGAAAAAAAGTCAGGCAGAAACATCAAGAGACCCAACACATGAAGGCAAATTCTTACGCTCCCTGGATGACTCACACCTATCAGCTAAGATTTTCAATTCCCAGTTTCCTGCTCTAAGTATTACCAATTTTCCCGCTGACCCTTTGCTCTAAAACTACACTCCCAGGTAAAGCTGCCTGTGGGTAAGCACGGCTGACCCCACTCCAGCTTCCAAACGCACAACAGCACAAAGCTGAACCCCTGTCCTGTTCGGGGCTCAGCTGCTCCAGAGACACATTCCTGCCCAGCCAGGAGGGGGGCAGACCTGAAGGAGCTCTTCCTACCTTGTTATCCAGAGCAGCAATTTCCTGTTGACTGGCTGTGGATAGCAGAAAGGAATTCATCTGAGTTTTCAAGGTATCATCCACCTCCACATCAATATCATAGCAAGCCGTTTTCTTCTGGTCGTTTGGGTCAACACTAGGGGCATCCACAAGAAAGAAGCCAAAGTAAGGGAGCAGCTTAGAAAAGCACCAAATTGTGGCTCCTCTAGGATGACAGAGCACAGGGACCGCAGGCAGGGATAAGCCACGCTAGTGTTAGCTTCAGCTCTAGCACCAAGCAGCAAAGCTCCGCTGGTGGCTTTGCAGCACAAGGAGCAAGTGACTGCTCCGAGCAGATTTCTGTCTACAGAAGTGTAATGCCAAGGACAGCATGAACGTGGGAGCGCCTTGTGGAAGAGAGGGATGTGGTAAACAAAAGAGGGGGCTGCTCTTGTACAGAGAAACAAAGACAGGCAACTCGGGAAATGCTGCTGAAAATGAGAACATCCACCATCTTCCTGTGCCAGCCTCATCCATCCCTTCCACTCTTCTTCCTACAAATAGGAAGTCAAGTGGCTCAGTCTCACCTGATCACATGGTTAATGATGATCGGTTCTGGGGGCATAAGCAATGCATGAAGTCTCTGTGGGATTTCCGAGAACTTCATCCGCTGAGATTCAAATATCTGCGGCAGAAACACAGGGCTAAGGAAAGGAGCGGGAGCTCGGTGCCAGCGATCACCGGCTGCTGACAAAGAAGAGCTGAAACAGTCGCTTGTTCCAGCCACGCTGTTACCTGCTGGAGGTATTTGTCACAGATGACATATTCCCGCTCGTGGGGGTCCTGGAGCTTGTGGGTCTTGATATATTGCCACAACGCCTGGATGATCACCGGACGGGTCTGAGTGTGGATCCCCAAGAGACGAGCCAAGCGGGGATCCAGTTTGAACTGGGGAGGCTGAAGGAAAAGGCCCAGAAAGGTGAGATGGCCGCAGACACATCTAGCGCTACACGCCCAGCGCTGTTACTCCCAACATCCTACCTGGTAATCCAGCATCAGGAGGACAGTACAGCGCACGTTTACATCTCCTGGCCTCTTCACCTGGAAGCCGTCTGTCTCCTGAGTCGTAGCAGTCCTGTGCCACTGGAACAGGAGAGCGCATTTAGAAGCGCCCCCACACTTGGCTCCCTTTGCTCCTGCTGCTTGGCACCCAACAAATCCCACCCACCTAGAGAGAGTTCACCCTATTCCCACCTAACAGCTTGAAACAAGAGCTCATACATTTGTTCAGACCCTCAGCAAGTCAGAGGAAGAGCCAAGATAAGAATTTAAGAGCTCCTGGCTCCCAGCCACTTGTTCAAGCCTTAGGCATCCCCACCTCTCAACTTAAACTGATCTACAAACACCAACCCACTTTTAGAGGTAACACAGCAAAAAGAAGCTCACCTCTACTAGGTGATTGTCAGGGCCATACAGGTCTTTATCAAGTTCAATGACCAGAGATTTAAAGAAGGATGAGAACTTTCTTTTCTGCTTGGTGGCATCATATTTGGACAAAGCAGACTGCAAGCAACACAGGAAGGAAAAGCGTTAGGACAGCAAGTCTCGGCGCTCAAGCACAGCCACCGTGCACGACAGCGTTCCTTTTTAAGTTCCAAACACCTAAATTCACCAACGTGTGCTTGAAAATCAAGTTCCAAGTCAGAAAGTGAAAGGCTGGAGTTAAAGATGAGCTTGCAGGCACTGAATCACTCAGCAGTTACATACAGCGCAAGTGCCCTGGTTCTCAGCGCCAGGGTACACGAGTGCCACTGCTCTGCTCTCACCATTCATTCTTACAGCTCTAAGAACTTTGTATAACTCATGGCCTGCCATGGGGATACCCTTCGGTCTCCAAGTTGGGCTCTTGGTCTCGTCACCATCAGACTCCTTGGAAAAGAGAGATGAAGGAGGATATCAAGCCCCTAGCTATGCTCTCAGACACTAAGAAACTGGTATCATTGCCAATTCCAGATCCATAAAGTCACCTCTGTGGTTGGGGATTTCACACTCACATCTTCCAGCAGCCGTCCTTCCACCCGAAGCTCCCAGGAGGCGACTGTTCCTTCACCATCCTCTGCATCCGACTTGGCTGGATTGAAGGTATTGGAGATAAAAATACGGAGCTTTCGTTTTTGCTAAGAGAAAAAAAGCATCGGCTCAGCGTTAATTCTGAAATAAAGGGCTGACTATCTTGCTCATGTTTTGCTAAAACTAAGCTTAATGTTTCGAGTGGCTCATATTCCCCCTGTCCCACGGCAGGCAGCAAGGGAAGTGGCATTTCTGGTTCCACTCCTTGGTTTTATCTGGAGCATTAAGATTCCCGATACGCCACGCTTACATGGACACGACCCAAGCTCCAGTGCCCTCCTGCTGTCTTTAACTACCGCAAGAGCCTCCAAACCTTGCTGACGACCACCAGGAACGCAGCCCTCCCCTACCTTGATGGGTCGCTTCAAAGCCTCCTGGATATCCAAGCGCTTCCTCATGATCGTCTGGTCCAGTTTCCTTTCAAAGGCCAGCAAGTCCATATAGGCCTGAGACTCGGGTACAAGTTCACGAATCTACGGCCAATCAAGAACGCAAATCCCCGTCAGCTCCCCCAGCCTACTCCGTACCAGCACAGGCTGCAACTGCACGCGCCACTCACCCTCTGAGGTAGAATTTTGTCAGCCATCTTCTTCTTTTTAGCGCTGTGAAGGAAGAAGATGCACACACGGGCGTTAAAACGGCCCCCGCTTTCTGCAAATCACCTGCAGGCGTTCATGAAGGGAGCGAGGCGACGGCTTATTCCCTGGTTTAGCGCTGGGGCATTAGCACCGCTCCCGGCCTGGACACCGGTCTCGGGCCTGGGCTCTTTTTCAGAGCCGTCGATCGATGCGCGACGTCAGGCTCTTTATTCCCCGCAGCCCCCGCCAGGCCTCCGGCGCTGCAGAGCTGACGAGCCCTGCGGCAGCGTGACTGATCGCCTGAACGTGCCACAGCCCCTGCGGGAGCGCAGGAAGCGGGGGTCCCTCCGGCTGGGAAGGGCGCACCGACACCATGCCTAAACACAGCGACTCTCCAGCCTCCATTAGCTTTACATCGGCTTTCCTGGGAGCTGCATTTTAAACCCCGGGATGAATTACCAGCGTTACCGAGGCAACACGTTATACTGCCAGGAACGTAACCTCGGCTTGCTCCAGTCTAGCAGCTGCACGTTATTCTTCTACCTGCTGGAAGCTCCCCACTCCCAGAGGAGCCGCACGAGAAAGCTGACCTCCCTTTCAGCCACCCAACAAGGAGCTGCCCAAGCGCAGGACGAAGACACAGCGCCCG